GTACACTTTTTATGCCTTACTATACTATGAAGTTTTTTTGACTTTTAATGCCTTACTATACTGTGACGTTTTTTAATCTTTTTAGAACTTACTGTACTATGACGTTTTTCGGACTTTTAATGCTTATTATACTATGACCTTTTGTACACTTTTTATGCCTTACTACTATGACACTTTTATCACTTTTAATGCCTTACTATACTGTGACGTTTTTTAATCTTTTTAGAACTTACTGTACTATGACGTTTTTCGGACTTTTAATGCTTATTATACTATGACCTTTTGTACACTTTTTATGCCTTACTATACTTTGACTTTTTATGAATTACTATGCTGTGAGTTTTTAAAAATCTTTTATGCCTTATTGTAAAATGACTTTTTTATGACTTTTTATGCCTTACTACTATGACACTTTTATCACTTTTAATGCCTTACTATACTGTGACGTTTTTTAATCTTTTTAGAACTTACTGTACTATGACGTTTTTATCAGTTTTTTAAGCCTTACTATACAATGTTGTTTTCATACCTAAATATACTATGACTTTTTTCTATGCCTTACTATGCTATGTCTTTTTGTGACTTTTTATGCCTTACTATACTAAGTCATTTTCAGGCCTTACTATACTATGAAGTTTTTATGACTTTTTATGCCTGACTATGCTAAGACATTTTTATGACTTTTTATGCCTTACTATACTATGAAGTTTTTATGACTTTTTATGCTTTACTATACTATGACTTTTTTTTTAAATGTTTATGCCTTACTATACTCTGATTTTTTTATGCCTTACTATACTATGACGTTTTAATGACTTTTTACGCCTTATCATACTATGTTGTTTTTATGACTTTTATGTCTCACTATATTATGATGTTGTTATACCTTTTTATGCCTTACTATACTATTTCGTTTTTATCAATTTTAATGCCTTACTATACTATGATGCTTTTATGCCTTACTATACTATGATGTTTTTATGACTTTTTATGGCTTAATATACTATGACTTTTTTTTTTTTACTTTTTATGTTTTACTATATTATGATGTTTTTATGACTTTTTATGGCTTATCATACTATTTTTTTTCTTTTACTTTTTGTGCCTTACTATACTATGAATTTTTTTTCACTTTTTATGCCTTACTATACTATGATGTTTTTAAACTTTTTATGCTTCACTATACTATGACATTTTTTGGGGGTTTTTATGCCTTACTATGACCTTTTTTAAACTTTTTATGCCTTACTAAACCATGATGTTTTTCTCACTTTTTATGTCTTACTATACTTTGACTTTTTATGAATTACTATTAAATCATAATTACTATTTTTATGACTTTTTATGCCTTGCTATACTATGACGTTTTAATGACTTTTTACGCCTTATCATACTATGTTGTTTTTATCAATTTTAATGCCTTACTATACTATGATGTTTTTATGACTTTTTATGGCTTAATATACTATGACTTTTTTTTTTACTTTTTATGTTTTACTATATTATGATGTTTTTATGACTTTTTATGCCTTACTATACTATGTTGTTGTTTTTTTACTTTTTGTGCCTTACTATACTATGAAATTCTTTCACTTTTTCTTCCTTACTATACTATGACATTTTTTAAAACTTTTTATGCTTCACTATACTATGTTTTTATGCCTTACTATACTATGTCTTTTTGTGACTTTTTATGCCTTACTATACTAAGTCATTTTCAAGCCTTACTATACTATGATGTTTTTATGACTTTTTATAGCTTAATATACTATAATGTTTTTTAAACTTTTTATGCCTTACTATACTATGAAGTTTTTTTCACTTTTTATGCTTCACTATACTATAATGTTTTCATGCCTTACTATACTTTGACTTTTTTAAAAATGTTTATGCCTTACTATACTATGACCTTTTTTAAACTTTTTATGCCTTACTATACCATGATGTTTTTCTCACTTTTTATGTCTTACTATACTTTGACTTTTTATGAATTACTATTGTGTGACTTTTTTATACCTATATATACCTTACTATTTTATGACTTTTATGAATTACTATGCTGAGTTTTTAAAAATCTTTTATGCCTTATTGTAAAATGACTTTTTTATTACTTTTTATGACTTACTATGTTTGACTTTTTTATGACTTTTTATGCCTTACTACTATGACGCTTTTATCACTTTTAATGCCTTACTATACAATGTTGTTTTCATACCTAAATATACTATGACGTTTTTCTATGCCTTACTGTGCTATGTCATTTTTTGTGACTTTTTATTCCTTACTATACTAAGTCATTTTCAGGCCTTACTATACTATGACATTTTTATGACTTTTTATGCCTTACTATACTATGACGTTTTCAAGCCCTACTATACTTTGACTTTTTTTTAAATGTTTATGCCTTACTATACTATGACATTTTTTTGAGTTTTTATGCCTTACTATGACCTTTTTTAAACTTTTTATGCCTTACTATACCATGATGTTTTTCTCACTTTTTATGTCTTACTATACTTTGACTTTTTATGAATTACTATTGTGTGACTTTTTTTATACCTTTTTATACCTTACTATTTTATGACTTTTATGAATTACTATGCTGTGACTTTTTAAAAATCTTTTATGCCTCATTGTAAAATTACTTTTTTATTACTTTTTATGACTTACTATGCTCTGACTTTTTTATGACTTTTTATGCCTTACTATCCTATGACTTTTTAAATATCTTTCATGCCTCAATGTACAATGACTTTTTATGCCTTTCTATACTATGATTTTTATGAATTACTATGCTGTGACTTTAAAAAATCTTTTATGCCTTATTGTACAATGACTTTTTTATAACTTTTTATGCCTTACTATGCTATGACTATTTAAATATCTTTTATTCCTCAATGTACAATGACTTTTTTATGCCTTACTATACTATGACATTTTATGAATATCTTTTATTCCTTATTGTAAAATGACTTTTTATGACTTTTTAAGTCTCACTATGCTCTGACTTTTTATGACTTACTGTACTGTGACTTTTTAAATTTTTTATGCCTTTATGTACAATGACTTAAGAAGGCATATATTTTATTAAATTTTCATTTTTTTATATTTTATTCTTTTACATTTTCATGCCTTATTATACTATTATGTTTATTGACATTTTCATGACTTTTTACGACTCACTATACTGTGCAGTTTTATGCATTCCTATACTATGATGTTATATACTCTAATATTTAGTTTTTTTATAGCTTACTACTCTATCATGTTTCTGTTTATGTATGTACATATATATGTATGGTTGTATGTATGTATTTTTGTATACATGTACTTGTTTGTTCAGTATTATCATTCATTTTGTGTCAGTGTCATATTGTGGCAGAAATAGTGAATTTCCACAGTTTTTTTTATTAGAAACATGGAAAAATAAACACAACTTGAAGAAAACATGAATTTTTTTCCTGCAGACATCACAAACATCAATGTGGTTAGAAAAACCTCCAGTCTTTATATAAACCCAATCAAAGCTGCTGCTGCAAAAGACACTGACACACAAAGTCAACATGTTCTATCACACTCTTTTTTTCATGACTTTACTTGGTGATATATAGATTTGTATGTATGTACACAAGCATGTATGTATTGTAGGTATGTATGTATATATGTACATATTTAGGTATGTAGGTACATGTAGATATAGTGTATATTTATTTGTTTTTTTTGAACATGTAAGGTAACTTTTTGCCACTAGATGTCATAATTTCACTATTTCATATTGTTGAATTTAGTATTTCTTCCTTCACATACCTGTCAAAAACCTCCACCCATATCCAGTCAGCCAAAACTGTGGCAAGGGGCACAAACTAAACATTAAGTACAGCTGAGGCTGATGGGAATGTCATCACCACCGACTATTTTGACCTGCTAACCCTAACCCAACACAGGAGATGTCAGTAAATCACAAAACATTCCTTTGAACAGTCATTCCTTTAGCGCCATCCTCAGGTCAATTCTTCAGTAGGTTCAATACTTTAGAACCACATAACTGCAAAACTAATGAATAACTAGCAGCTGCTGTACTTTGTGCTTAGCACTAATTGGCAATCAAATACACAAGTTAAATGAAACCCTTTCAATATTAATAATATTTAATGCTATTCATACAGGTGATTATACATCTTAACACTAGTCAAATCATTTTTTGTATTTCGATCACTCATTTTCACATTGGGGAAAATTCTAAAACATTTTAACTCTAATAAAATGTGTTTGTGATTTGAAACAGTGCCCTGTGCCCCTCCTGAAGAAGATATTTTTTAATGGGGTAAAGTCTCAAACACGAGTCTGTTTCCAGTTGGGCCAACTGTCATCCTGTTAAATGTATGAATGAGCTCACAGGGAGATCAAAATCCCCATAAAGCTGACACAGGTTCAGGTGAAAGAGGATGCATGTGGGTGTACCTGTCTGTCAGAGGACTGCACACTTAAAAGGATTTTTGATCATAGGAATATAGACTTATTTGGACACAATACAAATCCTCCTCTGAAGACCGGCCACTGTTAATGAGTTAAGAATACCATCATGTGATAAATTATTTAAGAAATGTGTCATTTTGATGTTAAGGAAGAATAAAAACCTGCCCTGAATATCCACAAATACGAGTCATTTTGTTTTAGCAGTTTTGGTGTGTTAGATTTTATTTCAAGATCCCTGTGTTATAACAAAGTCTCTTGAGGTTCAACAAACATTCAATATTTAGTGGTATGTCCTTTAAATGTCAATCGAACATTCATGCCAGGCATCTTATACCACAAATAAAGCTTAGAGCAGAACAAATTTACACTAATTCCATGTCTTAATTGTCTATCCTATGTGTTTAAAACAAAAAATTTAAACAAAAAACAGAAAATATGAGGGAGTAAACATCATCCACAAACCCTCTACAGTGATAGTGCAATTCATCATAAAACAATTTTAAAAATTCAGAGTAAAAATCAAAAACCATCACAGGTTGTAAGTGTTATAGCGCGTTGATAAAACAATAACGTCAGATTGATTTGAAGACGGTGCAAAGAGAAGCATCATCCTCTCCGGCCTTCCCACGTGGAAGAGACAGTCTGATCTGGGTTTTCTGGGTTTGCATAAATCCTTTCACTTGCTGTAATGACACACAGAGTCCATGGCCAGCAGGATGCTGCAGAGAGAAACAAAACTCATTCACTTCAGAATCAAACCTTTCACAGAGGCCAGAGACTTTTTTCTTTGTTTGTCACATGGCTGCAATTCCTCTGTTAGCGCAGTAGATCCCAACCTTTTCCAGCTCATGGCCCACATCCAAACCCATTACAACACAGAGGCCAAATCCTAATGACAATGTGCACTCTCTCCTTTTAACTCTTCCTGTTTCTAACCAGCTCTCCATTTTGATTCTCCAGTTTTTTGCCATGGATATGATCTTTTAACGCACAATCAGACTGAGATAGTAACAAGTACATGATGTGGTCTGGCCGGCGACAACAAAAAGTTCTGATCATTGGTTTATCACAATGACGTAATACAAGAGAAATTAAAATGGATGTGGGGAAATGTTTTTAAAGATCATTTAAAAACTTTTATTTTATAATTACATCTTTTCACTGAAATTTTATGTTTTGCAAATGATTTGTCCGCCCACTTGCAATATCTTCGCAGCCCACCAGGTTGGGAAACTCTGTAAGTGTGTACATTTTATTAAATGGTAAAAAAGCCAAAGATCCTAGAGCCCAAGAAGATGTCTTCTTTTTCAAAACTGTAGTCTGAAACCCAGATATTCGGGGCACAGTAGAATCTGTTTCTTTACAAAGCAGCAAATCCTATTTGAGAAGCTGGAGCCGTGACTGTTTGACCTTTTTGGTTGACTTAGGGTTTAAATGATTCATGGATTATTCACAATACAGTTTATTTCTATGAAACAACAGATCAATTTAACAACAAATGGTTTTGCTCAAAAAAAAAAAAAAGTCTATAAAGATGAAAATGTGTTGAAGTGTGGACCGTAGACGTACCTGTCTGCAGAGTATCCTCTCTCACACAGGTTGACCAGAGCGTACAGATGTCTCAGAGCGTATTCATACTGAAACACAAGAGGACATCACGGGTCACAAGTATCCCCACAGTCTGAGCTTCAGGACATCACCCTTTAAATGTTACTGAACAAACTTTATTTTCGCCTGTTGTGTTTGTTCCTGGAACGTTGAACATTTTCTGAATAAATTCCCAGCTGCATCAAAGTATTTGTGTTTCATTTTTTACAGAATAAAAAACACAGAGTATTTAAATACAACTTCCTGATCTGGTCAGAAGTTTAGAGCTGCTCTCTGTGTCGTCATCACGTCTTCTCTAAACTCCTTCTGATATCTCTGATCTCAGAGCAATAACACCTTCCTGCGTGACACTTCTTTATGTTCCTCATCTATTTTATGAAACTTTTGATACAGGACGTTCAATTATTTCAAGTTAATACAAAAGCTAATTCACTGATCAGTTGTTTGATCTATAACATGTCAGAAGATAAAGAAAAAATAAAGCTTTCATGTCTCCTGTTCCACCAACAGTCTAAACCCCAAAGATGTTCAGTTTACACTGATATAAAACAGGAAATCCTATAATTGGAATAGTTGGAACCAGATCTGATTAAGAATTAATCGATTATCAAAATAGTTCAGGTAACACAGTTGCATAAAATGACAACTACGTTATCTGGTGGGGAAAATGATCATGAATTTCGTCCTAATGAACCCCATCACTCTTCACTTCTTGATCATCCAGAGCAACAGCAGCCTCACGCTTTCTTTACCCACATCTTTTTAAGCAGCTGATGTTAATGTCGAACTGTTCCCTCTTTGTTATGTCACTGAACACGGGACACTCCCCTCTGATGCCACAGTTTTGTGAATTAAACTTGAAGTGTGAAAATAGACACGTTGACTTGTCTGTGTCACTCATGGGGAGAACAGACCATTGTTAAGGTTACCATTAACACACTAGGAAGTCTATGGCTGCAGTGAAAAGGCCTTTGAGCACAACAGGAAGCCTTATGTGGCAATTTGTGGGCGTTGGTTATGCAAATCATCCATTCACCTCCTCATGAACAGGTGCTATTCAACAAGCAACTCATGAAAGACAAATCTGTGCAGATGAAACCTCACAGAAAATGTTCAGAATGAAAACACAGAATTGTTTTCACCTGAGGCTTTAATGCTTCACATGCTTTTCATAAATTCATGATGTAAGAACTAAAACTCATTCTGTCTCTCAGATTAGTGTCAGCTGACTGTAAACTGAAAGTGGATCTGGTCTGTGCTCATGAGGAGCATGTGAGACAGTTGTGGTGCTTCCCCTTTAACAGTGACTGTGACTAATGAACCATGAGAACAGGGTCGGAGCTCTACCTCAGCTTTGTGCCAGTTGAAGCACTCGTGTTTGTAGTGCTGGACCGCAGCCTTGTAGCACTGATGCTGGGACAGGTCGGCTCTGTCGTTCAGAACCTCCTCCGCCTTCATCTTGTCACCCGTCACCCTCTCCACCACTCGGTGCATCATTTCAGCCAGCATCTCCCTGACCTGAACACACACGTTCACACAGTCAGAATCTGTCAGGAACCTGAGGGCATACTCCATCCTCCACACGGGACCTGAAACACGCAGCGTCCTGGACGTTACCTTGAGGTGGGCGTTCATCTCCATCAGCAGGCCCCTCGCAATGCTGATGTCGTTGGAGGCCATCAGCTTCCTCTTCAGGATGGCCAGAGGAACGTCAGGGCTTGGGGTCAGATCCAGATTGGTCACTGGTTGCAGTGTCAGTGGAGGGGTGGGGGGGCTGTTTGCTTTGTTGTTACCCTGAAACGTTATCACCTTCATGTGGGCCATTGTCTGTAGAGAGGGAAGAAACTCTAGGTGAGTCAAACGTGTGGTCTCCCTCTGAGCTCCCCTCCAGTCACTGAGACATGAAACTAACAGGTCGAGTATCTGTTGGTTCTTCTCTCACCTTGTTGCCGTACTGCTGCACGTGGCTGGTGTTTGTGTGAGTCTTCACGATCTTGAACTGCTTCAGCAAAGTTTCTTTGGTTAAGTCCTCCTGGAAAGGACATCATCATTATTATCATCATCACAGACGGAACTGTTTTATAAGCAACAAAACATTTCCAAAAATACAGTGCAACAGTCAAAATGATACCTTCTCATGGGTCACAGATCTACACTTTGGTTGGTGCTTTTTGGTTTTGTTTTCCACTGATGAAGTTCTAGTTCCTGTTTGGGATGCTCATGTATGTTGTAGCCGACAGGTGTCACATGTGTATGCAAATGACCAGGTCTTAAAACAAGTCAATGCGGCTGAAACTTTCAACACGTCCTTTTCCTGCCTTTCTGGCTTCAGGTGTTTGGAACAGTGAATAAACACAGATTGGACACCATATATTCAGATATGAAAACAGTTTGCTGTTCTGATGAATTAATAAAAAGATGCTGTTTGGTGAATGTTACTGGACAGAGCCAGCTGCTCCTGTTTACAGTCTTTATGTTGAACTAAATTAACTAGCAGCTGCTTGTAGCTTCATATTGAAACAAAGAGATATAAGGAAGGTATCCGTCTTCTGAGCCACTCTCCCCCAGAATACAAATAAGACAGTAAAATGTAAAGGGTGTAAATTAACACTCTGGAGTGGTAATTGAAAATGAATCTCAAGTTGAAGAGTCATTGTAAAATATATTGTTGACGTTTGAAGGACGAGTTACTTTACACTCAAAATATGACAAAGAGCAGGGAAACGTCACCCACCACGTCAGAGTCTTCCATCCAGTTAACGCTGTACCAGTCGCCCAGGTACGTGTCCCTCTTCTCGTCATAGTAACAGGCGTAGGAGGACTCATGAGAGTTGGCTGCTGTGGTGGCGTACACTGGACAAACAAACAAACAAACGTCCTCCTGTTACTTTCCATGAAGCTAACACACAAACACCTGAAGCTCTAAGCACCAGTGTGTAGATACTACATCAGAGCAGGTCCACACCTCTTCTATATGTGAAGGCCTGGACTTTTACAGAGTAACTGCATCGAGCACACTGGACTAAAGAGAGGTTGTCCAAGAGAATCCCAGACACAGATCCAGCATGCAACTGTTGTAAAATAATTTCCGTCTTCCTCTCTTCATACTTTTTGGAGCTGCCCCATGTTAGCAGTTTACTGGACTTCTGTATGTCAGACACTTTCAGAGCTCCTTGAAGTCACTATAGGCCCCCGTCCTGTTCCCGTCCTGTTCCAGCTCTGTGGAGAACCCTGATGTTCAACATGCCCCAATGAAACTCCTTGGTTCCTGTACGCTGCTGCCCGTCATCTCTTTCTACTGAAATGGAAGGATGTAATTGCCCCAAATCATATGCACTGGATCAAGAGGATCTCATATTATGTGAGGCACACTGAGGCTCACCTGATGAATTCTGGGATGTCTGGAGACCTTTTCTCAGATGTGTAGCAGAGAAGCATCCACCAGAACTCTTAGTGCAAATGTGTCTGAATATCAAATAATCCGCTCTGATGGACTTGAACTCGATTCCCTATATTTATTTAATTTTTTCAGTCTCCTCTTTTTCCTTTTTCTAATTGTTTGTTCAATTTGATATTATAAAAGATATTGTACTTGCTGCATCCCTTGCTGTATTTATATTTTATTCTGTTCTTTTATCTACTTACTTTGTATATGGGTGGGGGTGGGATTATAAAAAACAGTGTGTGAGCTCACATTCCTTATCTCAAACGATCAGCGAGACACTGTGTAAAAAGAAGAATGTAAAATCATCTTTGGTTGCACAATGAAAACCAGAACTTTAGTCCACATCCTGTTCATCACATGAGGCCGAGCACGTGACAAGCAATAACGCTGAGCTTGACGTTCATGATCGCTCGGTTTTCCCGACAGTGATTCTGATGAGGTAAAGTTCAACTCACCGTCAATGTCAGCAGGCAGATGGTTCATCATTGACCCAGACTCACACGCCTCAATGTAGAACACCATCTGTAAATATAAGTGAGTGTGTGTGTGAGAAAAAAAGATGACGACCATCACCATCACCTGATGATGCCAGTGAATCACTGACTCGTACTGCAGGACGTGTTGGTGTGTACCTTTTTGTACTTCCTGTTCTCGTGCATGTATTTAATGGTTTCTTGGAGATCTTCAACATGGAGCTAGACAGAGAGAGAGAGAGAGAGAGAGAGAGAGAGAGAGAGAGAGAAACCACCATGTGACACTAGAATGTACTTCATATAAACAGTTATAAATAGTCATGTTGTTTATCTAACTAACATGGCGCTGGTAGAACTGTTGTATCAAACAATATGACACTGAGGTCATGACGTTGTTCTGAATGATTCAGTCATAGGAACGAGGACACAGACCTCTCCTCTGATATTTTTTCATTAACTGGTGAAATATTGACTGCTGAGTGTCTTAGCTAAGATTTACTCATAAGTACCAAACACAAAGTACTGAGCCGGTGGGATGTCAGCTCTGCAGGGATTTGGTCATAAACCAAAGTTTGGACAAATAAAGACTTGACATGACCCGATGATGGCGCTAGATGAAACGTAAAGGAATCAGGAAGCTAGAGTTACTGGACTGAAGCAGGTACAGATATCTGTATACTTAAAAATTACATTTAAAATCAATCTCATATTGACACTGGAGGAAAAGTCAGAGCAGCAGGATTCATTTTAATGAACGTCTGAATTGAATTTCACAATCCCTCTGATCGCAGCTTTAATATTTCACTGACTAAAGGTGTCGACTGCTGCAAAGAAAAAAGAGTTTTATAGAAAACCAGGTTTAAATCTTTAAGATTTAAAGGTTTCAGTGACTGTCTGAGTATCTTTTCACACTGAACATTTCATCCCTAACACAGGACGTTTCACAGACTGTTGCAGTCAGCTCGTGACACACGTGAACATTAGTGAGAGCAGGAAGTAAAAAGTGCTCACATCATCATCAGGAAAAGCCAGAATACCAGGAGCCCCGTGGTCAGTGAAATACACGAACACATGATCATTGGGACCGCTGCCAAAACAAAGAGAGCAAGGTCAGAAACAACAAACATGATGAACCATGGTTGTCTCATGTACCTGTACTGTCTGCTGTCACATTCAACTCTCCCTTCTCTTGTGTTTGTTCTTCACTTGCCTCTTCAACACTTTTCCTGAGCCGCCTTTGGTTTTTGAGGAGTCGCCTTTCAGCACAGCCAGGAAGTTTTCTGGGGTCACGTCCTGCAGAGACACCCAGTGAGAAGTCATTAAAAGGGACAGTTCTACAGAGCGCGCTGTATAATCCTGCTGAGTGAATCAGAAAGGGGCGTAATACAGAGCACGCTGAAGTTGTGCGTAGGGATACGGTAGTTCAGTGGTTGAAAAATGTAGTGCCAAAGGAAAGAGTTGTTTTTCACAGGAAGATAAAGATGAAAAGAAAAATCTTCTACACGAAGCTTCATTTAAACAGATTGTTTCCTTTTTAAAAGGGTCTAACAGGTGTTTTTCTCATGGCCCCGCCCACAGCAGCTCTTCACTCTGACACTATGCAGGTGATGCGTTCAGCTTTCCTAACTGGGAGCCAATGATCATGATCTACTGCAGGTAATGAACTGAATATGAACAGCACAGATTTGCTCCAGTAAAAATATTTGCTCTCACCTCCCCAGTGTAATCTTTAGGAACTCCCTTGTACACATCTGTGCCGTTGGGCCTGTTGATCAGTATCCCGGGGGTGGGGTTACTGGAAACAGAAACAAGGTTCAGACTTACAGAGGGAAGTGAAACTGATGACATGATGCAATATTCAGTGATCAGGTGACGGAGCTCTACAGCTGCAGAATCTCTTTGTGTAACTCTCAACAACGACATTAATGTAGAAAACTGCAGCGTTACAGTGTGATCAACGTCTGCGTCACATGACACATCATTTCACAGGAAATAAACTAACAGATATCAGTCTTTATGAGACACTGTGAGCTGCACTATTGTTATAATACAAGTTATTTATTAACCATAACACATGCTGATAATGATGTCGGCCATGAAAGAGCGTGATACGGATATAAAACATTCAAAGTTGCATAACTTCACAAAAACTTGACCTACATCATGTCAGAGTATTTTCAGATATGGAAACAGTGCTGAACAATAATAACCAGATCCTCAAACTGTCTTTGATTATTACAGATCAATCAACTTTCATCTTTCCACGTGAGCTCCATCTAAAAACCATGTTTGGATTTCTTCTGCTTATCACAAAGTCATCAGCTGAAGCTGACTAGCACTAAAAGCTAATGTTGGCTGAAACAACCTATAACTGATTAGTCGAAGGACAGGATATTATTATAACTTAATAATTTGTTTAGTCAAGTCTTTTGTTGAGTAAAAACCGTGTTCTGTATTTTGTTATTAGCATTTTCTTCTTCTGCCTCTAAATTCCACAGGAGTCTTGATCCAGACAAACGATTTAACTTCTTCAAACATTTGAGCAGGTTTTTATGATTTAATCTAAAGATCATGACTCTTTTACTGTCACACTGTAACAGTGACCGTGACTGAACTTGCTGCTCTCTCCAGGCTGCATGTCAGGAATATCAGTCACAGCCCTGAAGGAAAACTAAAACGAGTCTACAGAGCGGCTGCTCTGACACTGACACGAGTGTGATTACTCTCACAGATAAGAAATGATCATTATATCATTAATGATTTATATGCTTATTAATTATTTTCTTGACTGGTGGTCTGGTCACTGAAAATGTACATGACAGTTTCTTCAGATGGTTTTTAGAGCTGGAACGATCAGTTGTGATTGTACTGCCTGAGCAGTTACAGATTAATTATGTCAGCTAATAAATTCATTGATGACTCTCAGCTCTACATACATATGATCAGACCTTACTGATAATACTGAAACACACACATTTTGTTTAATTTGACCCTAAGAAAAGCTTGTTTTCCTTATTAAATAACTTCAGTGCTTACTTCTGTAAGACATAATATATATATGCTATTTTGTAAATACTTTTTTTACACATATTATTATCTATTTCTCTTTCTAAGTATTTCTTACTGACATTTTGCTGTTTTTCTTTCTTGTTCTGTCACTTTGCGGCTGTGACGCTGCAGATTTCCCCAGTGTGGGACTAATACAGGAATATCTTATACAACATATATCATACAGCTTGTAAACAGTGACCAAAGAGAGTTAGAGCTGAAACTATTAGCCAATTAACTGACTAGTCAATTGGCAGAAAAATTATCGGCAACTATTTGATAATTAATTTAATCATTTTAGTAAATAAAAGAACTTCTGCACAGCCTCAACTTTGCTGCTTTTCCTTGACACATGTTTTCAGGCAGAACATGTGAAGACGTCACCTTGGCGACTGTGAACATGTGATTTAAATCCTGTAATCACACTTTGAACTTCAACCTGCAGATCAGCATTTACAAAACTGAAGATTTGGTTTTCTATACCACATTCAGAAACAGGTCAAAAACTAACAAACAAGTACAATGAGTGTTTTTTTTTTAGAGGAAAGAAGAAGTCACTGTATCACAGAGATCTGCTTCACAGAAACAAAGAGGCCAACTCACTCCTGACTCTGAGCCAAGTCATCGTACATCATAACCACTATCTGCTCGTCCGGGATCCCATTCCTGTGGACAATCTGGTAAGCATGGCAAGCATCGGCCTGAGAGAGGAGAGCGGGGGAGAACAGGTCAGCAGCTCGTTATCGTTAAGGTTCAAAGTGAGTGAAATGACCCGAGGTACCTGAGCAGCTTCATGATCAGAGCTATTCTTCCTCACTCATCTCCTTTAGGAAACACTGGAGCATCCTTTACCAAAGGAAAGGAGACATGCCGTCCCACAATTCCTTGCTGCAGCAACATTTGAAACCAAAGCAGAGCCACAGAAATATAGCAACAACAGAGCAGCTGTTTCTGTCTGATGGACTGAAGCCCAGATCCATAAATATAGATTTCTTCTCTTTCAATCAGTCAGGAGTCGTCATGAAGAACGAGCAGATGAATCTATAGTTACATCATCATCAGAACTAAATACTATAGTCTATACATTAATGTTGTTAAATCCCCTCCAATTGTGTAAAGACCTAAACATTAATTTGCTCTAGTTAACATATGTATAGAAATGTCAGGAAACTATAAAGTTCTGTCTGAATATCATTAATTCTCAGCGTATTATTTCTATTCAATTATTATTTTAATGGCTCAACTTTCAACTTTTCTTATTTCAACATTTCATCCTGTTTGTCTCTGTGGTTAAAGGAGGATTCATCCTCCATGTGTTATAAATAAAGTTAGTTAAAAAGAATTCAGTCAGATTCTTTTCCTCAGTCCTCATGAATTCTCCTTCACATCTTTCACCTCATGATGTTTTCCATCAGATGGAGAAGAAGTTAGAGGAGGTTATTCTGACTTTTGACTTCAGCCTGAGAGTTTTAACGCCCTGAGAGGAGAAGTGACTGATCTGAGGGGAAAGTAGATCTTATCAAAAACCAAAGAGAAAACAAGTGAGTCATGCAGTTTCCACTTATTCATGTCTCATGTAGTTTCCCTCTCTCTCTCACCTGGTGTCTGTAGTTTCCCTGTCTCTCTCTCACCTGGTGTCTGTAGTGTCCCTGTCTCTCTCACCTGGTGTCTGTAGTTTCCCTGTCTCTCTCTCACCTGGTGTCTGTAGTGTCCCTGTCTCTCTCACCTGGTGTCTGTAGTTTCCCTGTCTCTCTGTCAGCTGGTGTCTGTAGTTTCCCTGTCTCTCTCACCTGGTGTCTGTAGTTTCCCAGTCTCTCTGTCAGCTGGTGTCTGTAGTTTCCCTGTCTCTCTCTCACCTGGTGTCTGTAGTTTCCCTGTCTCTCTCTCACCTGGTGTCTGTAGTGTCCCTGTCTCTCTGTCAGCTGGTGTCTGTAGTGTCCCTGTCTCTCTCACCTGGTGTCTGTAATGTCCCTGTCTCTCTCTCACCCGGTGTCTGTAGTGTCCCTGTCTCTCTGTCACCTGGTGTCTGTAGTGTCCCTGTCTCTCTCTCACCCGGTGTCTGTAGTGTCCCTGTCTCTCTCTCACCCGGTGTCTGTAGTTTCCCTGTCTCTCTGTCACCTGGTGTCTGTAGTGTCCCTGTCTCTCTGTCACCTGGTGTCTGTAGTTTCCCTGTCTCTCTGTCAGCTGGTGTCTGTAGTTTCCCTGTCTCTCTCACCTGGTGTCTGTAGTTTCCCTGTCTCTCTGTCAGCTGGTGTCTGTAGTTTCCCTGTCTCTCTCACCTGGTGTCTGTAGTTTCCCAGTCTCTCTGTCAGCTGGTGTCTGTAGTTTCCCTGTCTCTCTGTCACCTGGTGTCTGTAGTTTCCCTGTCTCTCTCACCTGGTGTCTGTAGTTGAACCAGCCGTTGGATCCAGCCACGATAACCACCCAGTTCTTCCCTCCGTCAGGCTGCTGGGAAGGAAACGCGTCCACCAGCCCGAGACTGAGGCCGAGCAGGACGGAGAGGACGGACCGACACATGTTCTTGGCTCCTGGAGGACGACAGGGACAATGTCTCTGAATACAGTGGGGTTTACCTGGACCGTGAGGAGGCACCGAACAACAACTGTTTAACACCTGACGGTCCGTGAGTCACATGACGATATCCACCCTCCGTCAGCTCGCTAGCTGTTAACATAACAAGCTAACCAGACGAGTGACTTAAACAGCGGAGAACAAGAGAAAACGACAAAAACACGCTCCAAATAAAAGTTAGCGGCTTTAACCGGAAAGAGAAAAGAGACTTGTCTTTGTTTACCTTTGTTTAGTGACGTATGGAGGAGAGAGACCCGCGACGCTGCTACACAAACATCCCGAGCAGGAGTCACCGGGATATTTATATGTGACGTTGGGAAAAACCGTTGATAGGAGTTCTACCGCAGTAGCCAATCAGAGGAGGCGGGGGGCGGGGCCTTATTGTAGACAGTCATGTGATTTGAAGAGCAACAACAAGTATCGACCTGTGTGTTTTCTGATGACACTGACTTTCCCATGCTCAACTGTATTCATCTCTGAATCACAAAACTTTACTGACACTGTGAAATTAATCAACAATAAGAAATCGGTGTATACTGCAAGCTTGATACAGGACGTAACATAAAACGCCTCCTTTATATAATTTATTCATTTTTTTATTTTATTTTATTTTATTTTATTCATTTTAATTAATTATTAATTATTAATTAATTTCTGTGCAACTTTTTCACTTGTTTTGCTTCCACATATATGTAATGATTTATTTGCTGAGATATATTTTTTTATACATGTTATAGGATACGAGAAGGACGATGCAGTGCCTCCTAGTGGACCATAAAACAAGAGACTTGTTTGTGATGTCTTTATATTTGTAAATGACTCAAGTTGTCTTGATAAAGATGGTTTAAAAAAAAAAAGGAAAAAAAAGCTGACATTCTGGTGAAGACAGTGAACCTCCCTCCCTACTCTCTCATAAACATGGCCGCTGAGGTTGAATCAGAAGTGACACGTCTGGGCTTTAGTTTAGATTCTGAATGAAATTCTAACTCACACATAAAGAAGGTGACCAAAACAGCTTTTTATCATTTAAGAAATATTGAGTTCCAAATCCATAAAGATGTTGAGAATTCATGCTCTTATTTCTAATAGACCAGATTATTGCACTGCTCTATTTACTGCTCTTTCACAGCAGTAAATTGCACAACTCCAGTTAATTCAGAACTGTGAAAGTCCTTTTACTTGTTTTCAAAGCTCTACACTGCAGATTCTCTGTGGTTTTATAATCTTTCACCAGCTCTCAGAAATTCGACTGTCAGACTTTTAAATACACATAAGAAAACAGGCAGTGCAGCTTTTTTTTAATTATGATCTAAAACTATGGAAAACCTGCCAAGAGCTGTAAGAGACACTCAGTGAACATTTTAAAACCACAGATGAAAACCTGTTTACTTAACTTGGCTTTTAATGAATTCTCTCATATTTTACTATTCTTACTGGTTTCTGTTTTTACTTTCATTTACATATTTTATCAGCTACTGTCTTTTCTATTGTCGATTTCCATTGTCCTTCAGTCCGCCCTCATTTCATTGTACTATGTACTATTTCATTCTAAAGCACTTTGAGCTACATCTCTTGTATGTGAAGTGCTCCATAAATAAAGTTACGGTAAGTTTCCCCACAGATGCTCCTGTACACCTGAACCTGGACATACCAGTTCCACTGGCAGCATTTCACACCCACATCTGAACACAACCACCTCCATGTTTGAAAGGAAAAGTAACATGCTTTTATCTTCCTCATACTTTCTATCATTTGATTTTTGTTTGATCAGAACTGCAGCCTGGCCTTTGTTTCTGAGGTGCACCGGTGGTTTACATTCTGTGGTGAATCGTCTTCTCTTGATCAGTGACAAGCATGCCTACATCCTGGAGAAAGGTCAGGACTTGCTGTGCAGTCATAAAGGTGTTTTTCTTCATTATGCAAACGATCTTCTGCTCATCAGTCAACCAGTGCATGTGACTCTTTTTGAACAAACCCAACTGTTGATTATCATATAATCACCTTTAATATCTCTGACTGATTGTTGGTTTTTTTCTTCTTCACTTGCACCTCCATCTCTTTACTCCTTACACTGATCTGATCTGTGATCTTACTGAGGACATAAAAAGATTCTTCATGACGGGCCAAAACTTTTCTGATCTGAAGCTCATCTGAGGCTGTTTCAGAAAAATGACGTGGATATGAATTGAAATTTTGCCTCCATCGCTTTAGGAGGAAATCGCTTTAGGTAAGAATCCTGAACAAATTGATCACGGCACGTTTCAGTGTTCATACGGACTTTTGTTTTAAGACTATCCTGTCGACCAGCTTAGATTTATTTGTAACCCAGCACTGATCTTGTCATATAATTCATTTGATGTAAATATAATATTCTAAAAACAATAATGTGCTGCATGTGAATGTGATACTTCTTCACAGTGAGCAGTGTCCTGCACCATGTTTGCAGCATGTCATTATGTAACAGCTGTTCTTCATAAGCTATTAAAGTGGGCACAGTACAGAACTGTCATATGATTCACTCTGCCATAAACAATCTTATAACCACAGAAAGATCGAAAATCCCTGATCAGCTGACTGCACCTGTGTCCCTGTTGATGACTCAGCTTATGCTACACCTACTGTAAACTCACAAACAACAGAAGCTTCTGTTTTCTTTAGTCTGTTCCATATCAAAAGGGATTTGGAGGGATCAATAAAACAATACGTAATCAATCAGAAGAGACATGTTAAAGATGTCGGCAATAAATCAAACTTTTATTTCTCCATATAGAAAAGAATTAAGTTAAATAGTGAAACAGTCCATCAAAAATCTGGCATCTTGTTTTCAACCAATGGTCCTTAATACATTAACCTTTGTCCCAAAAAGAAAAAAAAAGATGTAACAAAGTGTAAATACCATGTTCACAGTAATAAATATCGAAAACAAAATCTTTTTGTACATTTACATTATATATATATATTTGTGTAAATATATATATATTATATATAGATATAGATATAATAATATACAGTAAAAAGTTATTTTCAAGTTTATCAAACATAAAATAGTAAAATAAAAATGGCTGAAAACAGAATGATGATTGCATTTTTTTTCATTCCCAAGGCATCGGTAACCATGGCCATTCAGAGTCTGTAATAAATAAAGTGTGATATTATCTAAAGATTGTAGTGCATCACTGTAAATTAAACAACAAACATCGTAGTGCAAGTTTTTTTTTCTTTGCGCAAAGTAATCTTGCAAATTTCAAACTAATTGAAACGGAATGACAACAATGAAACGGAGAAGTTTTGATGACACAGCACCGTCATGTCTCTGACGTCAGTCTGTTCACCACCACGCTCTCCGTCGTCTTGGCAGCGAAAAAAAAAGCTCTCACATGTATGAAACCATGGCAGATATTCAATACCAGGCTTATTTGGCAAATTATTTAAAGACAAATTAAACACAAAAAGAAAATCTCCAAACGCTCGATACACTCAGCTCTGTCAGAGTCGCCAACAAACAGTCAATGAAATGCATAGAAATAGAAATGAATGACCAGTAGCAGGAACTAACAGAGCGTCAGGGTCGTTTCTGTCATGCAGCATTTCTGAGACGCAAAGCAAGGCAGATACTGTGGCTGTGTGTGGATGCAGTAAAGGATGCTGGGTGAATGTAGGCTCTGCCTCTGCTTGCACTTTTCCCTGGCTTCCTGCCCCCTCACTGATAAGGAACAGGGTGGGGGGAGCCTCCCGTTTCCTGTTTGTCTACAGGCTCCTGAGTCCTGCTGAAAGCCAGGGACATCTGGCTTTGTCCTGTGTGTGTGTGTGTGTGTGTGTGTGTGTGTGTGTGTGTTTGCTCGTCTCAAACCTCCGCCCCCAGCTCAATGATCCCAGTCTCAATAATGGGCACTAGCTTCTCTTCCACCTGTACCAGCAGGATGGTCTTGTCGATATGGGAACGATTGGCTGGGTCTCGGCTACAAGGCACCCACCGGTGAATCACCTGCAGAGGGAACACACCACCTTTATGACACGTGTATGACAGAGCGGCTCACAGAGAGCTAACGTCTACAGCAGAGCAGGTCAGAGACTGTGATCTATTTCTCTGAGTGGTACTGACGTGTCCTTCCATGCCCTCTGAAGGGCTCCAGTCCCTCCAGCAGGTCCGTCCCGCCCTCAGTCTCAGCGTCTCGTCAGGCCACTGCAGCTCCTTCCTCTTCGACAGGTTGATGTTCTCCAGCACCTGACCGACGTCCACGATCTGGACAAGGAACCACAACAATGAAGATCACAGCAGGACTGAGGGCTGGTGTTCAGAGGGACGACTGATACACAGGTATATTGATACACTGATATATTGATGTACTGACGTATTGATATACTGATATACTGATATACTAAATGAGAAACACCGACAGATTAATGAAAGACACTGATGATGTCACTCCCCACCTGTACCACTGCCCTGTTTGTTTTCTGATGATTGTACAGATGATTTACAGACCTGCACTCTGTAGGAGATGTCATCTCTGCGCACGGTGGAGACGGTGGGGTTGTGTTGTTGCGGGTGGTGATGATGATGGTGGTGGTGGTGATGCTGGCTGAGTGGATCTGTCACTGTGCCGCACAGGCCATCGTTGCCCAGGAGGCCCACCAGCGTGTGGCGTTTGCAGGGAGGGATGCTGTGGCTGGACAGGGAGGCGGAGGGGCCGGTGGGGTCAGAGGTGGAGCCCAGCCGGAGCTGCAGGGAGGTGGGGAGTGTGCGTAGAGACAGCTGGCTGGTGGAGGAGCGTCGGCAGGGCTCCAGGCCTGTGGTGGAGGTGCGCAGGGAGGAGTGACGGCTGCTGTTGAAGCGGTAAGAGGATGACTGGCTGGCAACAGAGGCTCGGGCCGGAGAGTGGCGCACCAACCCCGACTGGACAGACTGGGAGCTCTGACTGGTGCCTGACCACAGGGAGAGTTAGATGCACACCATCAGAGACACATTTAAACTAGACTAGGTCAAACCTCGTATCCGTCTGGACCTCTGGTCTTACCCTGATCTTATAACTGTGACATCGTCAAAATCATCACACACATGAATCAAAGACTGACGCGTGATTCCAGCTGGATTTACTTATAACCACTCACAGAGAAAGTTAAGAGAGTGAAAGAGGGACACAGAGAGAGAGAGAGAGAGAGAGAGAGAGAGAGAGAGAGAGGGAGAGAGAGAGACAGAGGGAGAGAGAGAGAGAGAGAGAGAGAGAGAGAGAGAGAGAGAGAG